GATCTAAGGGTTTCAGGCTTGGTACACATTTCGATTTGTGCGTGTCATGCTTGCGCATCAGCCATGCTAATCTTATCTGTGTTGCTCGAACTTCATCGGAGACTTCCCTTCCTTTCAGGGCTATGGGCTTACAACTTTGCAGGTTCGGGTCCGGGACTTGCGGCGCTTCTGCAGGATCTACTGCCCACAGAATGAGTTGCAGTCATGTCCTGCAAGCTTGCTGTGTTGATCGCTCAACACACGTACCGTACCCCCGCCTGACCAGTTCCTTCAGCCTTTGGGTACCTTGATAAGTGGTTACAGAACTTTTTTTTGCGCTGCGAGGTTAATAGGGTTTGGGCCTGGGTTTTACAGGAAGCTGCCGTGCTGCCGTGGGCTTGATTTAGGACTTATGGTCCAGGGTATGGGATTTAGGTTTTGGGATCTAGGCTCTACAGGGCTGTGTAATGCAAACATGCAATGCATGTGTAGTAGCAACAGTAGCACAGGAGAGTAACAAGCAACTTCTTATGGGTTTAAGGTTTAGGGTCTAGTCTAGGGCCCCTAGGCCCTAAACCCAAAACCCCTCATCCCCTAAACCCGAAACTCCAGAGTTTACGGTTTGGGGGTCTTCGTCTTCCACAGAAGTAGCGACTTTGCGGTACTCCCCTTGCTTTCCCCCCAAAAAAAGAGGCCATTGTTCTGACAAAGTCGATTATAGCAGTTTCCATAAGGAAGGGGGGCCCAAAATAGAAACCAACATGCTATGATCCTTGTAGAAAATACGCCTAAGTTCTGGCAAACCCGCATTGTTGTCTAAACTCCTAGTATCCCTGTCAATAACCCCTATAATACTCCCCTAAAACATACCCTATCTAGCCCCCTTCAAGGAGTTTAGACCCTAAATCCGAGACCCTATATTATCCCCTAGATAGCCCCCTTTAAGGAGTTTAGACCCTAAACCCTAAACCCTATATTCTCCCCTATATAACCCCCTTTAAGGACCTAGAAAGCCAGTTACCCATAATTCTGGGCAACTTTCCCCTAATTTCCTGTTACTTTGGATGAAAGTAGTCCCGTTATTCTGGGTAACTAGGCTTTCTAAGTAGGCCCTAAACCCTAAACCCTAAACAGTAGTTTTCATTTTCTTTTCCATTATCCCTATATAACCCCAATAGGCTTTCTAGGTATGGCCCAAATAAAGCTCCCATAGAATTCAAGCTCACCTCTTGGCCCTGACTGCGGGTTGACGCTGAAGGGTTAGTCGAAATATGAGTGGATTTGGGGCTTAGGGAAGTTTAGGGTTGGGGTTTGGGGGTTTAGGGTTTTAGGGTTTTAGGGTTTGGGATTCAGGCTTTGGGGTTTGGGGGTTTAGACACGCGCATCGCGCAGCAGGGTTTAGGGTTTAGGGTTTCCAGCAGGAATCGGATTCATGCCGCGCATACTTCTCGATCACGGTGTAGAACTCTGTGATAGAGTAGGGTAATAAGAAGGCAGCACCCAACAGTCCACCCGCTAATTATAGACCAACAAGAAAAGCAGCCATAATGCCTACAAGGCCAGACAAAGGTTGTAATCAGGTAGCCGCAAACGGCAAGCAGCTACTGTTGATACTTTTTAAAATCCTGCATGACCTTTGTACACTATGATACCATTATTTTCCCAAGGGATAAGGTACTTGGGGTCATACCACTATGGGCTATTAGACCCTAAAATTCCCTATTAGGACCCTATTAAGGGTAGATTAAGGTACCCTTAAGGTCTAATAGCCCATAGTGGTACAGGATTTTCAGTATCCAGCGTACTTCGTCCACGCCCTCCTGACTTCATCTCTCTGGCTCTCTTTTTTGAAGCGGTCTTTGCTCTGTGCGTCTGCAGCCTTTGGACAGTCTTGGCACTTCCAAGAATGCTGGGATTGGAGCACTGTGGAGACAGGTTTAGGGTTTAGGCTTTAGGGCAATTAGCTGAGAACTTGGGTTCCGTTGAGGTCTGATCCCCTCCCCGTAGCATTAACGGCGCAGGCGCCCATTCGCGCGCGCCGACTCAGGCAAATGTGCTGAAATCACTCGCCCTGCCAATTGAATTCTGGTGTCGAGATCACAAGAATATAGAAGCATAATATGGGGTTATATAGGGATGATGGACAAGAAAATGGAAGCTACTATAACAATGAAGGGGTATAATAAAGGGATATAAAGCTATAGGGATTATGGAAAACAAAACGGAAACTATCATTTAAAGCAGCGGCGTTTAACCTGCCGGACTTCCACCTGCAAAGGATGCATCAGTGGGAGTCAGCTCGGGGTTCCAGGAACCCCCCCCCCCCCGCGCCCTTAAATGGGTTTAGGGTTTAGGGTGAGAATCTATACGAAAGTTTTCAGGCATAGGGGAACCCCAATGTAGACCCCAAAGTACTATAGCTGCCCTTAAATAGGTTCAGGGTTTAGACACGCGCATCGCACACTGCAAGCACGGCAGAAAACGTTCAGGTCGGCACTTCACTCTACCTTACAACTACGGTCACAACCAGGAGGAAGGACAGGACTCAGACAGCAAACTACATACAGCCTACTTCTTCACTACCTGCCACAGCCTCATCTACAAGCCACACTCAGTCGTGCAAGGGGTGTAGGGTTTAGAGGTTTAGGATTTGGGGTGAGAATCTATAAGAGAGTTTTCAGGAATTGGGGAACCCTTATGTAGACCCCAAAGTACCATAGTCCTCAATTTTGTATGTGGACCCCCCTCCTTTTGGAAAATCCTACATCCTAGACCCTTCTTGACCTCCATATCCCCTTTAAAGGGGCTCTAATTTTGGGAAACTCTCATCTGGGTCCTATGTGCGAGTACTCTGGGCTCCATAGAAGGTACTTGGGAGGTCTAGGTCAGGTTCTGAATTTAATTTGGGGTTCAAGGCCCCGAACCCTACTGCAATCTCTAAACTCTAAGCCTTTTTAAACTTTAAACATCGCCTGCTTGTTTCTTAAGCAGGAACCCCTGAACCCCCAAATCCAAAACCCTAAGTAAACTCCACGCTATCCGAGTTATGGGTCGCTATGGCGTGCCTTGTGTTCTTGCCTTTAAGGCAGGTGTACAGTATAAGATGTCTAGAGGCGCGGGCACCCCATTTGGCCGCCGAAAGGGGTGGGGACATAAGGGGGCATCCTGAGACCCTGCCGGTTCATAGGGGTTATATTGGGATAATGGAAAAGAAAATGGAAACTACTATAATGGAGAATCAAATGGAAAAGAAAATGGAAAATGAAATGGAAACTGGGAGTATTTTGAAGACTCCCTCAGCTACTGGGAGGGGTGATTGTAGGGGTTATCCCGTATTGGAGTTGGTGCTCTAACCCCGCAGCCGCAGTCTCTAGCAACCGGGCCTCACTGATTCTTTGCCAGGAGGGATGGCACAGTACTTTGTACTATGCGCCCACGCACGAAACACTAACCACGCAGAAGTCCTCCACCCTGAAACCGCTTACGGGCTTAGAGTTTAGCTGGTTCCATGCGACTTTTCGTAGTTGGCGGTAGTTCTCCCCTCACATGGACCCTGTGACCACAATACCAACACTAGACGCAATAAACAAAATTATGAACGCCCCTCAATCCTGATGCCCGACTACCCTAGGCCCTGATACAATGCTTATGAACTCCCAATCGGTCTAGACGGCCACCCCAGGCACTGGCTTAGGGCTATACGGCGTCAGGGTTTAGGGTTTAGTTAGGGCTTAGGGCTTAGGGCTCCAAGGGCTTGGTGGCTTAGGAGTTGTAGGATCCTGTACCGGTAACTGCCACTACCTTGTGTTCCTCTAGTGGCTAGCAGGATCAGGCCGTCCCTGTAAGCCCCCCCAAAACCCCCCTAGTACTGAATTTCCCCTATAACTTCCAAGACCTGACCTCTTAATATTGAACATTCCCTGTAATTTAATAGGCCTTATGTAATTATTGAGGATTGTTGGGGGTTGGAGGTGCAACCATTCAGTATATGAGAAGGCCAGGCGTACAGAGACCGTATGGGCCCCTGCTATGGGCCTTTAAGCCTTTTAGGGAAAAGGGTTCTAGTTGCCGTAATGGTCCAGGATACAAAAACCACATACTCTGGAGTCCTTATGCTACGTAGTCGTTATTTAGGTTTTGACGAGTGTACGATGATAACTTTATACCCCTGAGCCCTAAGTCTACGGGCCAGGCACGCTAAAGCTTCTCGAAATCTTTTTTGGATAGCAGGGAATGAAGGAAGGGAAAGGAAAATTGAAACGACTTAGGGTTTAGGGAACAGGGTTCAGGGCTTAGGACTATATCTTTGGGGACGATCTTCAGACTACCAAAAGGATCTATTCCACCGTCTCCTTTCTTGCTAAACGGAAGTAAGAAGAAGAGGGCCATCATGGCTGTCTAGGGGTCTTCTGGATCCGAGGTTGAAGCCATGAGTCTTTTCGATGGTTCCAGCATCGGGTCCCTTGGGAGCATAAGGCTACTTACCTGCCTTCAGCCGAATCTTTTATCGATTCATAGGGTTTAGGATTTATGCGAGCTCTACCAAAAAGACAGGCTAAATCCATGGGTGGCAACGTCGCCGTGCGACAGTGGCACTTCTAGTCTTGGAACCATGCGAGCAGGACTCTCCCCGGATTCCATGAGGCCTAAGCCACACGACCCTAACCCCCCCAAAGTCTGACCAATCCCTAAGTTATCAAGTAAAACCTTCGGGGCTTCAGGTTTAGGGTTTAGGTACAAGGAATCTACTCTTTCTTCCAACTACTGGTTTAGATTGCAGTGGTACAGTCTTTCCTAGACTTCGCTTTCCACGAAGGCCCCACCAATAAAGAATATGTCTCGTAAACATGAGCCACGCCCACAACCCAAAAACCATAAACGCTAGAACCCGGAGCCCCAAAACCCGAAATTCCAAGCCTGTGACCCAGAACCCTGGACCGCAGACACTGAGACAAAGCCTAAAATCTTACCTAGCTCAGGCAGATTCGTGCTTGCTGCGTACTTGTCGCCTGAGGGAGTCATCAGCAAGTCCTTGGCAGCTTTCTTGGGGGCTTGGAGGGTCCAAAGGTTCAACGATCGCGTGGCACAGGCGCATGAGGTAACTGGTGAGGTTACTGGTGAGTCTGCGCAGGGCGCGAAAGCTCAAAGAGTATATGGAGTGTAGCTTTACGCTTGCTACACCTTTTTCGTCACAGCTAGTAGTCTGTGAAAGCTCTTTGGGCATGTGGGCCATAGACTTTATCTAGGGAAAGCGCACGCATGTCTAGGAGCTGGCAGTGTTGCACCCTGCAAAGCATTCAAGACCTGGTTGCCGGCAGCAAAGATTTGAGGACAGCTCAAGAAAGGGGCTCGCCGGCAATTCCTATGACAATTCCTGTGACATTCCCTGGAGAGCAAACAGAGCACAGCAAACCCATAAGGCTCCCAGGGGCTGCTGTGTAGCTACTTTCCGGATGTGTAATGGATTTCTGGACACGGATACCATTGTATCGTACGCCACCAATAAGAGGAACTACATATGAGACCTACACCCCAAAACCCTAAACCCAAAAACCCTAAACCCTAAAACCCTGGAACCCTAACCTACATCCGGGTGCGCAGGCCGGCGAGTTCATGCTTTCGGGCTCGTACCTCTTCCTTGCCGGGGACCCAAAGAACTTCCTAAAGCCGAGCTTCCAAATTCCTGCCCACCCGAATTAATCACCCCGCCTAAGATTACCCCGCTCCCCCCACACCCCTAACATGAAATACTCGCGGTATATTAATTAATATTAGGGGGAGGTGAGGGGGTTCATATTAGGTGGAAAGGATTAGTGGGTTGCTGTGAAGGAACTCAAATTAAGTTACAATAGGAAGGGTACATAGCAAAATGGGGCTTCAGCACCTCAATTAAGCTGCGACCCAGATTGGAGTTCAGGGAGAGGATTTAAGGGATTAGGCCCGAAGATCTGAACCGTGTCCCTGAACTCCAAGCTGGGGTTGAGGATTTAGGGTTGAAGATTTGGCCCAGTTTCCTTCTGGGTCGCGGATATGCTTTCGCAGGCGCCGGTAGCGTGTTTGTGGAAAAGTCCATTGGAGGCGTACCTGCTGGGGGTTTCGGGTGTACTTAGGGCTTTGGATTTAGGATTAGGGTGTTGGAACTATGGCTTTCTTATAGAAAGCCACTAACCCATAATTATAATGAACTTCCACCTAATTTCCTGCCACGTTGGGTCGGAGTAGTCCATTTCTCTGGGTTCAGGAATTGGGCTTCAGAGGGGTTCCAAGGCCCTCTTCCTTTTGCGTGGAGGCAGAACCTATGCAAGGTCCAGGGCTTACAGCTTTTCAAGCTAAATCTCAAGCCTTTGGGCTATCACCCTAAATCCCAAACCCCTAACCCTAAACCCCAAACCTTTGGGTCCTCTTTTTCGGTATGTGTGAGCTCGGGATTGTGCCAGGGAGGGCCAGGCTGTGAGGAAAACCCAGTTTAGGCTTTAGGGGTTTAGAGGTTAAGGGGTCTAGGGGTTGAGGGTTTAGGACTTTGGGGTCTAGGGTTTTGGTTAAGCCAATCGGGGATATCGTACACAAGGGGCATAAAGGGGCATACAAAGCTTATGTCGACTCTGCCTGAAATTGTAGGGATTCACTGCGTAGGGAAGATGCGGGTTTTGACCCGTGTTCCCGACATTGTCGGCTTACATACTTTAGGTACCATGAAGCCACTAGCGGCTAAAACCCGAAGCCCTAGAAGCCTTTACACCCTGAACCCTTTTTCTTGAGGCACGGCTGGAGAGGCTGCCTGCATCCCAAATCCTAAACACCACATAAGCCCTGAACCCTATGTAAACCCGAAATACATCCTTTTCTAACCCAGGAAAGAGGTGCCGGCCTGAAGGAACTCCGCAGTGTAAGAAGCTTGCAGTTATTCAGCAAGCTTATACACAACCTGATAGAAACCCTAAACCATGTGTATATATATATATATCCTAAACACCAAATAAACCCTGACATGAAACCCGTTCTAAGAGGCCTCTGTGGAGGCAAGGCCGCATCGCTGCACTCTCACCGTTCGCAATGACAATTCCTGCCCGTGGCAATGGGATTCTTGGAGGGTCAGATTTAGGAAGGGATACATAGGAACTCGGGTTTAGGGTTTAGGGATAATGGAGAAACAAATGGATGGAAGAGAAAATGGAGAATGAACCGGAATCTGGGATAGGTGGTAGTCACAATCGCACAAGCAGCAACAGCTAGTAACAGTACTGTAGCAGTAGCATGAAGAACCACAGTAATGGTAACAGAAATTCTTATAATCACAGAAATAGACAGAATTATTGCTCTAGTGAAAATAATGGTAATAATATGGCTAAGAAAATGAGACATCGGCAACGAGGATTTTTTTTAAAAACAAAAAAAGGATTCCGAGGCATTACGAAAGTGGCCGCAAAGTTGCGCAGCGATTGATTTGACAAGCTCCCGGACGATGGTTTCTCGAGCTGTGGGTTAAATAGTAGCTTCAATCTTCTTTTCCATTATCCCTATATAACCCTATTATCATAGAGTGGTTTCCATTTTTCCATTATCCCTATAAAAAGTATCTGAGGCCCCAATTCTATGTTCTCAAGTTTTCTCAATATCAACTTGTAAGTTTCTACAGAAAAATCCAAAAGTGATAAAGGTTAGCAAGTGGACAGGGAAGAAGCTTTTCTCCGTCCAGAATACCCTTCTGCGGCCTCCCTAGCGCTAAGTACGCGGGGGTATCTAAAGCCCCCCACGGCTCGAGGCGTCACAGCTTAACGTGACCCTGAAAATCCTCAACTCCGTAGACACAATTACAGGGTTTAGGGCTCAGGGAAGTTGGGATTTAGGGTTTAGGGTCAGTAGACCAGAATTATAATCTGCTTTCCCCTAAATTCCTACTAATTTGCGCAAGAGTGGCCTATCACTATGGGCAACTAGGCTTTCTAGGTACATGGAGCCCCATACATCTCCGGCCCTGTCATCAGGGGGAAAGTAGCCTTGACAGGGAGCACCTTTGGGGAGTTCATTGTTTGTTTGGGGCACGGTTGATGGAGAAAGGCCTTGGATCACCCTAGGTTTAGGGTCAAAGCCTAAGCCCTGAACCCTTGGGATAGTTTTGTTGGAGAAAAAAGCCTTGGATCACTTGAGGCTGATCAAACCCTAAACCCGAAACCCTAAATAATTCCTGGAGCTGCTGCTGAAGAAAATCCTGCATGGCCTCATCTGGGAATTTCCGAAAATTAGGGTTACCTTTCCGATGGTCCCCATAATACGAATAATACCATTTGGAGGTCCCTTTAGTGAAAGAAAATACCATATGTCTATACCTTACCCCTCGGAATTATTGTAGTGGAGTATGTCATAGCTTGGCGCAGGAAACTGTGAAGCAGCTCCTGGGAGCGCGGGTACCAAAGAACTGCACTTTGCTTTGTCCTTGGCGGCAGGTGGGCTGGCTATGGGTGACCCAGATGGTCGCTCAAAATGGGGAGGGGGCTAAGGGACCCTAGCGAGATGTGGGGATTATGAAGTATAGCTGTGTTCGTGAGGATTATGTAGGGACCATTTTGGGAAACACCCATAGCCAAAAATCGGAACCCTTGCGCTCCATAAATTGTTCTTGTGTTTGATCGGTCCAAGTTGGTGGTTGCTTTGAAGATCCATATGGGCCATAGTCTAAACTCTTAGTATCCCCCTTAATAACCCCTATAATCCCCTAAAGAAGCCCCTTTAAGGAGTTTAGACTAAAGATCCATCTGTCGGATCCCTTCACCATGCCTTCGCTTGGGAGAGCTCAAAGTGGAGTGTTGAAACCTTAGCCGGAAGCAGCTGGAAAAAGAGGCAAACAAAGAGCCTAAACCCTATAAGCCCTAAACCCTAGATAGTAGCTTTCATTTTCTTTTCCATTATTCCAAATATATCCCCAGTATAGCCCCAATATTACCCCAATAGGTACCTAGGCATGCAGAAGACTGCCAAAGCTTCAAAAGCCCATCACGTGTGTATGACCGTCGCGGATCTCCTCTGCCTCTTGTATTAGAATCTGTCCCTGTCAACTCCCTAAACCCTGAACCTCGATGTTAGTTAGGGGGTGAGGAGGTTGACTCTTGGGGGAGGGGACTACATGTCCGGTACCGACCCTCAGGGACTTCAAGGATACTTTAGGTGCTGCGAGGACTTTCTCCAGATTTTCTCTGTCTTCGAGGTGCCATGTTCTGGGGTAAGCGTCGCCTTAACCCCTAGACCCTGAACCCTAAACCTAAACCCGAAACCCTAATCCCTAAACCCGAAACCCAAGTTTGGGGGGTCAAGTGAAACAAGTACTCTACTGCAATCAGACACCAATCCTTGGCCAAGAAACCCGGAAGTCACGACTCCTACCATGCTGGTCTTCCAAGATGAAGGTTATCTTGTTCTGGGGTTGGTAGCAATAGGGTTTAGGGTTTAGGGTTGAGGGTTTAGGGTTTAGAGTTTAGGGTTTAGAGTTTAGGGTTTAGGGTTTAGGGTAATAGTACTGATAACAATAGTATCCATAATAGCACTTACACTAATAATGATAACACTGGTAATAGTCATATTAACAGGTACAATACTAATAATAATAAGAATCGTGGTAATAATCATAATGGTAATGGTAATGGTTAGAGAACATGTCTTTGAGGAAATTATTCCTTGTCCGGACGAGGCCAGAAAGTTGGAACATCCCTGTCCTCCTTTTGGAAGACCAGGAAGACAAGAAGTCTCCCACATGTCCATAGTCTAAACTCCTTGTATGCCCCTTAATATGCCGTACAGTGCTCCCCTGAAATACAACCCCCTACAAGGAGTGTAGACTATAGCTCACAAGCCAACCTGTCGGCCTGTTCTGTACCACCGCAAACTGCTTCAGCTCCTAAGCCACAGCCCTGAGCCGTATACTCTAATCCCAAAGCGCAGAACCCTCTCAACCCTCAACCCTGAACCACTGAATGGAGCCACGCATCTTGTGTTTCAGGCGCCGCTGGGGCGTAGGCGTGTGCCTGAACTTCTTTGCCTTGGTAGTTCGAGGGAGTGCACACTCGTGGTTAAACGGGGTTTGTGCAATAGCAGTTCCGTTCTAGTGTTCGGGACATACTAGCATGGACTGGGGGGCCCTGTAAAAATTGATGGCCAAACCTGCCCTTCATTAGGGTTTCGAGGGTGGAGGGGGTGCAGGCCTTGGCTTGACAAACTGCCATTGGGGGTCTGGGTTTCAAGGAATGTAGGGGCAGGGTTTAGGGTTTAGGGGGTCTACAGCCACCCACTATGAACCCTAAACCCAATGTCATAATGTACCCTACACCCATCTGCGGCCTACATAAAGCCTAAACCTCACATAAACCGTAAACCTCTTGAAGAATCGAGCCTTTCCCAGGCTCGTGTCGAGACGCACTAGCTACAATCCCAGGAAAGCAAATGTCGCCAGTTCTTGCGTGCTTGCATCGGCCCCATACAGAACTCCTAGGACATTACAGGATGGCATGAAGATTCTGGAAAGGGGTCTATAGGAGGGGTCTACTGTACAGAATAGCGAATCAGAAAACCACTCAACTTAGCATTATGCCATAACTACCTGCAGTCCCTCATGTCATGCTCAGGCAGATTACAACCACTCGTTTGTCAGAATGTACTGTCGCCTGAAGATCCTAGTGTGGCTAGCAGCGGTCAGCATTCAATCTCCCACACGCTCTTCATTATCATTGACTTTGCATATTCTATCCCAGCATGAACCAGCACGGCCCCTGCACCACAACAATGACTTGCATAAGCTTCAGGGATGGAATTCGGGCGTAGGGGTACCGCCATTGGCCACCATGATTTAATTATGATAGCACCCCTGCCCAGGCAAAAGAAAAAACACGTGGCGTTGAAACACCTACAAGAAGTCTCTGCAATCGTGAGACAGCAAACCATGATCCCTACTGTTGAACCCCTAGAAGCTTTTTCGTCTGAGGTTGCCGAGGGAATGTGGCAACCAGTAACTAAACCCGACCCCAAATCCCCGCAACTCTATGTGCCGAAAGTATTGTGAATTAGGGTACCCGAAGCCACTCATGCCCTGAACCCCTAGAACCTCGCACTGCACCCCAGATGCTGAACCACCAAAATCCTCCCTAAATCTGTAAACAACAAAAAAGAAGTGGTTCTCTGTCCAACTTGCTAGGGTTCCTACCTGCTTTTTCATCTTCGCGTCACTGGCCATCTTGGGCAGGCCAGCCTTTCAACGATTGTATAGCGGACGGAGGAAACCTTGCACCACCCGCAATTCTAGCCTGGAAGTGAAAATTTGTTGGGGATCTAGGCCATGAAAGATTTCCTCCATCCACCCGAGGGTTTCAGGTTTGAGGGCGTGTCGGGTGTTCGGGGTTTAGCTTTTGTGGGTTTCAATTTAGTCGGGCGGGGCCCGGGGCGATTCAATATTGTCAAGCAGAGTGCTTTCGGGCCTACTATGGGGCCTGTTCTCAAGACCCGAAGAAAACATGGGGTGCAAGATACTGGTAACAGGATGTTATAGGTTGTAGGGGTTACTCTAGGCGCTGGTACTGACAAGTTCAGTCGGCCTTGAGCTTCTACTTCCATGGGTACTTGCACACGGGGGGATCCCTTTGTCTTATATACCCCTAACCCTTTATCCTGATAATGGAGACTCCCGCAAAGACTCTGATCTGCTTGGAAACCCCAATGTAGTAGCTCTTGGTGCCCATCGCCTCATAGTCCCCCTTCAGTGGACAGAATATGGGGCATATGGGGGTTTTGTTATGTTTCTGGGCGAAACCATATTCTATCTTCTTAAGGGGGACTATGTTCCTACTAACCACGACCCCTGATAATGAACCCCCTCCCCCTAACGGGGCTAATATTAAGGCACTTGAGAGGAGGGGTCTACATACCCTAAAGAGTAGTTTCCATGTTCTTTTCCGTTATCCCTACATAACCTCAATATATAACCCCTACATTACCAAGGGTCTACATTATGTACACTTGCTGTCGGGCTGCCTTGGGGCTGACACTTTGGCCCATGGAGGCCTCGGATGCTGAACCCTAAACGTCTTCACCTAAGGGTTTCGAAAAAAGGGGTGCCTTAAAGGAGGTTATAAGGGTTATATAGGGTATATAGGGCTTCCCAAAAATAGGGGTAGATCCTAGGGACCCCTGTAATAAGGATTATAGCATTTGGGGGTCTACATAGGGAAACTACCAAACCTGAAATGCCAAAGCGTGAACGCTGAAGCCTAGACCCTAAACTAGGTTTCCCAGTAACCCTTGAATAAGAAGGGTACCCTTTTTCCTATTGTTCAATTTCAACCAGGAGACCCCCAAACAAAAAGGGAAAAAGGGTACTACTGGGGTACCTAGTAAACCTGGACCCGAAAACCTTATCAAAGCGCAACCTGGAACCCTAATATCAGCCCTAGCATCCTCAGGCAGAATCAGTAAATACCTCTCTTAGGCGGAAGGTAGACAACGCATACATGTACATACACATATTCATTTAAAAACACACGTATGAATACTCAGACGCGTACATAGACGTATGTGTATATGTATAGATATGTAGAGAGAGAGAGAGAGAGAGAGAGAGAGAGGGAGACGCATGTTATGTAGACATCATGAGAACGTATGGACTTCCTTCTTTCAAACTCTTCTGCCTCAGGATGACGGAACCCTCAAGTCAGGATTTTCCTGTTGCCCTTTCAGCACCAGTCAGCTGAGTAGCGTTCTTAAATACCTGAACCTAGTAAGGTATGCTCTTCCTATAAAAATACCCAACAGGTGGATATAATCCTACTCTATACTCGAGACCATCGTATCCCCAAATTAGATACTACTCAGTTGAGAGTTTAGCCACAGCAAATATTTGGCAATCTCTTCCCCGGAAATATTAAACAATAACAAGCATTTCCAGTATATGGCCATCAAATATATCATATACTTACGCATTTGAGACCTTCTATTGTCAACAGCGACAGGGTTCAGCATCAAGGGCGGGGATTAATACCACACCGCCAAGGCCTGCATCCGAGCCCTCACACCACTTCTTCCAAACACAAACTGTTCCCATTATTTGAGCCATAGTCTAAACCCGAATATCCCCCTTAAGAAGCCCTATAGTAGTCCCCTATATACTCCCCTATATAACCAGTTTAGACTATAGCTCATTTGGATCCCTGCATTACTTTCTGGGCCTTGAGCCCAAAACTCGTGCCGTGTCACCAAAATATTCTGCTTGCGCGCTGCAAGGCCAAATTGACAAGCGGCTCATGGCCTTACAGGGCTATAGTTCCCCTTAAGTAGATAGAATATGGCTTTGGGTATGTTATAATAGGATCCCCATATGCCCCATCTTCTACTCGGGGGACTATAATGGCTAACAGCCCTCGCCCAACAAAGGGACCCGTAAAGCCGCATCATGATGCTCCCAGCATAGAGCTAGCCACGCATATCCAATATTGCAACGAGTCTATATGATCCAAAATGTAGACTTTGTTGATTGTAGCAACTTCCAAAATAGAGTAATCTCCCGATTCTAGAATTCTCTTCGCCCGGGCTCCCCTGCATCAGGATGCGAATCCTGCGGCGCAGCCATCTCCTCCACTCAGCTGCACTTGACTTATCCCCCTCTTTTAGGGAGAAAGGCAACCCAGTCCTTGTAACCCATGCCCCTAAAGATGTTTTCTAGGGCTATGGAAGGGAAATGAAAGCCCCACCCCCTAGCAAGGAATCCCCGCAAGCAGTCCATTGTACTTTCGGAGGAGTATCCATCGCTAGGAGGGTCGGGGGTCTATTATTGGGGAGAGGTTACTAATGAATGTTCACAGTCTGTCGCTAATTAGGAGGTCGGGAGGGGGGATAGGTAGATTAACTTTGAGAAGGGAAGTGCTTACCTTGCTGAAGCCGTTGAAGCGTGTGTAAGGTTTCGGACAGTGAGGGCGACGAGAGCAAAGAAAAATAGCGAGGGCATTGACAAAGGATAGTGCAAACCTGATCCCAAACTTGCATAGAACAAGGATTTGCCAGATTGCTGAAGGAGTCAAGCTTAAGCTTAACTCACAATCTCTGAGGTCATCTCGGAACCTTCACTCATCGGACGCATGTAAACCTGTATCAGCTAACCAGGATCCCGAACAAGTCACCTTCACTTGTTCGAAAATGTCTCTAGGGAGGCCCCTCCCATTAACAAGCCGGTGGCCCCAAAACCCTAATTAGTAGCTTCCATTTCCTTTTCCATTATCCCTAAATGACCCTATTATACCATAGTAGTTTCCATTTTGTTTCCCACTATCCCTAAAACCCCATATGACTTCACAGAAGTGAAAGATCCACCGCATCTAGGCACATAGGCGTGCCAGACATGAATCTAAAAATTCCCCCAGTTGCGCGGACCTTGTGGCAGAGGCCTTTAATGAGAGTCATACATGTGTTTTAGAGGAATTTTCACTCTTGGTCAGGGACCTGGATGCTTCGTAGCACATCTCAGGCACTCGCTCCTGAAGCTTAATGTTGGACCCTCTTTAATAAGTAGGGGTCCCCCCCCTTACATTAGGGCCCTCCGAAAAATAGAAATTAGGGATCCTCAATACGGGCCCCCTGAGCTCCCACGGTTCTGAGGTCCCTGTAGATTGGTTTGAAAAATAGGGATTGTTGAGAATCCTTCCTGTATTTTCAGGCCCCCAAAATCGAAACTCATTATAGGGGACCTTCCAATCATTGCCCTGATTCTGAATAGGCCGGCCCCTAAACTCATGAAAGGGGGCCCATAGGCAAAAGGAGGTCCAACATTACGCACACCTTACATGGTGCAGCTTAAGAACCGCGCCCCAAATCCTGATCAAGCCCTCAACCCTACATGCTTGACATGCCTGACCTGAAAAACTATCCTCTGCATCAAAACATGGCGCCCACAAAACCTCCATCCGAACCCTTGAGCTCAAAACGTGCTGTGCTACCTCCAGATCTTGATTCCCACCTCAACTAACAGGACCTTAGTAGGGGACATTTACGTGTATATATGTATAAAAAAACAGTATGTAGGGATTATATGAGGGTTATGTAGGGATTATATTCCCTTATGCCTTACTTAGAACCAGTATGCCAAGACTCAAGCTTCAATCTCCTGCTCTCCTGCCCAACAAACCCTAAACTCAAAACACACCTAAAACCCACTGAAGTGAATAAAGGCAATAGATGCATACTTATATACATGTAGACGTGTATAAATAATAAATATATATATATATATATCTGTCCATTTATGGCGGGCGCACAAGACTCCCACAACTTCCATACGCGGATCGTATGCTTTCTTTGGCTGGGTATAGCCTTTAAACCTCTGATAATAAATGGCGAAGTAGAGAAAATGCAAGTTGTGACCAGGCAATATCCTATTGTCTCTTACAAGTACCTTTATAGATAGCACTGGTGATTCGCAATATGCCTACCTAACCCCGAGACCGCAAGGTTCCATGTTACCTTCCATTTGATTCGCCAAAAACCCTATATGATCTATATACAACCCTAAATAATCTAGACAATCCTACTAAAGCCCAGGGCATCCCAGTATATCCCTGTTTAATCCCTTTATTCCTGTATAACCCTGAACCCTCAACCCTGGCACAAACCCTATGGCCCTATACCCCTGAAACGGTCCAGAGCTACAGATCTCCTCAGGATCATGTTGCGAGGCCTCTGTTGCTGAGGTCGTCAGTAGGCTGTCCTCGACCGAGTGGGTCCGGGTTTCAAGAACTGCTTGAGGAGCTGGGGGGCGTACTAAGCATACTTCTCCCCATTCAAACTACACAACAACGCACTTGCCCCTATCCCTACCATTGACGTTGTTGCTATGTACCCCCGATCCTTCGAGCGGGCATTCGAGAAACCATCATAGTTGGGAACAAGGGATATCCTATTCGTCACGTATAGCTAACTACCCAGTAACACCAATGTTCCGTAACATGCCTAGGTAGCCCCGAAACCCAACAACCCTATATCACCTGGCAGGTCGCATTCCATTTTCCATATTGTTCTGTTTGATTCTCCAGTACAGGGGTAGCATCCCCAGACCCTGAATGATCCCTGCATCACTTATATGATCATATCACACAATCAAGCCTTACACAACCCCTTATGATCCTTGCACAACCCTGTAGACTCCCTATGTAGCCCTAAAAGGTCTAAAGCTAAAGGGCTCCTGAGAATCGGGTTGTGAGGCCTCTGTTGCTGAGGTCGGTAGGCTGTCCTCGGGACCACACCCTAAACCCTAAATCCTAAACCCTAACCGTTCTGGTTTAGGGGAATGGGTTTAGGGTTTAAGGCTTAGGGTTACGGGTTTAGGGCTTAACTTGGAGGGTCGGCTGGACATGGCACGTATGCATACACCCATAGAGTATATGGGAACTTCGCTGATCCCCCATTATTGACCTACTTACTACGCCCCCCAGGATCCTACCAGTCGGTACTTGGCAACTTGATAACCATCAATATAGCTCATGACAAGGTAATGTCCCACAGCCTTTTATAGCCACAATTATGGATGACACGGGTTGAAGGGGCGTCTGGGCAGATGTGTGAGGACGACTGGTAACTTGGGAAAGAACGATGACAATGAACCTCAAGGTGGATAACAGCAGCAGCCAGTGACAACTTGTGCGTTTGAGGTGTTGCACCTCAGAACCATCCACAAAATTGTTGGGCTTCAACAAAACTAGATGGTTTTTCCTGAAGTAGATTGAATATCGCGTATATGGGGATCTTATTATAATGTACCCACAGCCATATTCTATCTACTTAAGGGAGACTATGTATAGTTCTAGGATTCTAGGAATTTCTCACAGGATGAAAGCAAAACACAGTCAGAAAAAGCTTCAAACCCTAAACCCCGAAACCCTTAACCCCAAGCCCTTAACACTGAACCCTAAACCCAACCCTAAACCCTCAACGTCCTGCGAAAGTTCCATCAAATATTGAAGCGACGGTAGGGATGGCTCCAGGGCCTGGCTCGGGATTAGGGTGTAGGGTTTGGGGT